TGCCAACATGGCTAAGAAATAGTACATGGGCTCGTGGAGGTTATGGTCTTCTCTAATGAGAAAGAGGAGGGTGCCATTGCCAAGGATTATGGAGATGTAGGCTGCCAACAGGAGGAGGGAGATCCAGTGGTGAGCCCTCTCCAAACCCAGGAAGCCAGAAAGCAGGAATGGGGAGGTCGTGTTGTTGAGCCATCTGGCAAGCATTGCAAAGAGGAAAATAGTCTCCTCAGATGGAAATTAGTTCCTTAGAAGTGGCTTCTTGAGAATGTCTTGTGTTCTAATGTGTGACTTGTTTTGACTTCCAGCAATATCAGAGGTGATAATTCAGTCTTTGGAAGTTTGAAGGCATCAAAGAATGTGTGTACATTGAACAATCTTAATGACTTAATCTCTGTGAGATACTGGAGCATCTGCTAGCAATACCAGGAATGTATAGACTATGTTGATGTTCTTTTAAGTACTATAATTCAGAAAAATAAAAGAAAAAGCGTACATAACTCAACCATGTCATGATAGTGTTGAAACCTACACAGCACTTTCCACAGTGTTTATTACTGGTGGTGCTCTGGGTGGATATAAATGTTTTCCAGATATTTCCCAATGCTGTAACCTAGAAGATAATGATTCTAAGCAACATTGCAAGAGCTAGTAGACACATCTTGTTGCAAACCAATAAATATAAAGAAAGAATAGTGTACATAAGCAAGTAAACTTATTTTAGCTTGAAGGAAAATTAAGTTAATATGTTTAGAGATTTTTGAGAGCTAATAAATATAGACTTATGTGTGTGTGATTCAAAAAATATACTTCTCTGTGGTTCAGAATTTTAAAAGACTCTATTCATGCACTATTTAAAAATTGTTAGTAGTTGCCAATATAGATATAGGTTGTGCAATAAGGAAATTTTATGATAATTGTTTGAAGGCACTATTGAGAGTAACACCAAAGAACTTTTGAATATTATGATACAATTGGAAAAGCAAAACAAATATTCAGAATGGCAAATAGTCAATCAGTACTTTTAGAACTAAAAATAAGATATCTTTCTATGTACTTTATAGAGACCCACTAGCCCTTTCCAGATTCTGAAGATTCACAGCTGTATCTACCTTCAGAATGAATCTACCACTAACTCAAGTCTAGCAGATAGAGTATGTGTTTTAATGATCAGAGAACCCACTTACAGACAGGGTTGTAAAACAGTCAGAGAATAAGTCTGTTTATGTAGGCAAGCAGGCAATGCCTCTCAGAATGAGCATAGCCTATGTGCTTGGTATATATGGCCACAAGCAAGGATTCAGCATTCTTGAAGGCAGGAAGATAAATAGACACATGGGAAGTAGATTAGATATGTCCACAAAAGGAGGGCTAGGACAAAGAGTAGGAGATAAAAATTGAAGGAATGATTACATGCTTGTGATGAGACAGTGTGTCAAAGAAAATAAATGAACCAAAAGAAAAGTGAGAAAATATATGTATGAGGAAAGATCCAGGGAGTCCCCTTTTATTATTTTTTTAATTATTATTATTATTTTGCAGTACCAGGGATCGAACTCAGGACCTTGCACTTGCCAGGCAGGCGTTTACGCCACTGAACTATATCCCCAGCCCCGGGAGTCTCCCTTTATGTCTGCATGGAATCCTCTGTGTTTCTGGCACAGTGAGACTGTGGCCATCAACTTTTTTCCCTTATCTAGAAGGACACACAGCCCTGATGCCATCGAGACTTAGGTTTGACTTGCCTTCCTGTGTGGTATTCAGGTGGTAGGGACTTTCTCCAGGAACTTTTTGAATCTTTGAAAATGGCAGGGTATGCTTTGGAAGCTAATCTGTGCTTGGACCTTATCTAGAATTCTAGGAAATCAACTTTCATGGAGGAAGTCAGAGGGCTGGAGTGAAGGTCAAAACAGTTTAAAGTTCACAAAGTGGGAGACAAAAGAGTAGAAATGCCAAAGTCCTCTTTCCAGCTTCCACTTTGCCCCCTTGCTCCTCTGGTGTTCCAGAATTTGTCCCTGGCTCTATTTTGTGCTCTAAAGCATGAGCCCTTTAAGCAAGGCAGGTTTTGGAGATGCTCGAGTCTTCAGAACCCATGAGCATTATTCAGCTACTTTTTGCAGGTTGTGCTATTACTTTTCTCTTGTGGAGAGACCAGCTACCAATTCCCTGCTTGGTTCTGTCTGGGCTCCTGGAGGGAAATGTCAGAAAATCTTCATTATATATCCCCACTGACCTGAAATTTTCTCTCTTCCATCTTTCCTTGATATTTCCATATTAACTTCAGATCTTTCGCCTTGTGAAGGATTTGGTCGCAGCAGTCTTCAGAGTCTGAAAATTCAGCATAGCTGTTATGAGCCTTTTTATAAAGGATTCCTCCAAAGGCCAGTCCCAATTTAGGCCATTATTGCTAGTCATTTTCTGTCCTTCCTCACTCTCTCCTTTTGTTCCACGGTCATGGTCCATACCCATCATCATTTTTTCCCCCTCGTTTGCTTACTGAGCCTTGGGGATTTCAAGATTTTTACAGCAGTCTCCCAAGTGTCTGCTTTTAACTTGAGACCCAATGCTGGAATAACAAATTATATCTATCAAGATGTGGAAGCAAAACAAGATCTATTAGTGATGTGGACTGGTGCAGAATTCTTAGAATAAAACTTTCTTCAGATAGTTTTAAGGAGGTCTAATTGCTCATCCTTTTTAAAAAATTATTTTATTTTATCTTGAAGAGTAAAAAGAAAAGCAAGTCTGCAAGGGTTCGATCCCCAGGCCTGCTGTTCTGGCCCCGCCCCCAGGGCACACTGAGACTACAATTGAGACTGGGCATGGTGGCTCATGTCTGTAATTCCAGCTCTTGGGAGGCTGTAAACAGGTGGATCACTACAAGTCTGATCTACACAGTGAGATTCTGTACACCCTGTCCTAAATACAAGAAAATAAATTAAGAAAAAAAAACAAAACAAAGATAAAAACAAAGATAAAAACAGGGTAACATACAACAAACTGTGCTGCTATAAACATGGGTGCACATACATCACTATGGTATGGTGTTTTCAGTTCTTTTGTGAAAATACCCAGAAAGAGAATAGCTGGATTGAATGGGATTTCCAATGATATTTTTTGAGGAGGTTCCACACTAATTTCCACAGTGGTTGTATCAGCCTTTATTTCCACCTACAGTGGACAAGTGCTCCTTTTCCCCCACAGCCTCTTCAGCATTTTTTATTAGTTGATTTCCTTGATAGGCATTCTTTCTGGGGTGAGATGGTATCTCAATGTTGTTTTAATTTGCATTTCTCTAATGGCCAGTGCTGTGCAAAATTTTTTCATGTATTTATTTGCCACTTGTATTTCTTCCTCTGAGAAGTGTGTATGCATCTCAGTTGCCCAATGCATTCTACACAGTGGAGCAGCACATGTCTTGCCACCAGCTCCTCCACTGATGTGTCATCCATCAGAGGGGTGTGCCACTATCGTGTAGTTCTTCTGTGATATAAATTTTCTAGCTTTTATACAATACTCTGCTTAATGCCCAGGCAGAACCATTCACTCCTAACGTACTTGTGAACCTTGTCTCTTCATCTTACTTTTAAAATCTACGTCTTGCATTCTTTTTCTTCTCATAAAAACCACATTTTCAGCATAAACATGACACACATTAGCTCAGAGTGAGAGTCTTAGTTACTTTTCTCTCATTGCTGAGACAAAGTACCTAAAGCCTCAAATTAAGGTGCTGAGTTACTTAGTTAAACTTACATACTTCTCAAGTTGACACAATGTATCAAGCATCACAGTAAGTATCAAAATCCTCATGAAGAATTTCTCTAAATCCTTGATAAGAGATTCCTATCCTCTCTGGTTCCTACAAATGAATACTCAGCATAAGATCCAGACCTAGGACAAGCAGCACAGGCACCTACAGAGTGGCTTCAAGAAAGCACTCACTAAGGGCTGGTGAGTTAGCTCAGTGGACTGAGTGCCTGCTTAGGCAAGTGGGATTCAGTCCCCAGTATCACATGTCATGCCGGCCCCACCCCTAGGACACACTGAGCTGGCTACAGAGTCCGAGCAAGCGTGGTGGTGCATGCCTGTAATCCCAGCACTGGGAAGGCTGAAAACAGGAGGATCACTATGAGTCCAAGCTGTGTAGGGAGACTGTGTACCAAATACATTAAATAAATAAATCAACAAATAAAAGCACTCACTCTCAAGTCATCACGTAAGGGTGAGATAGTCAACCGCAGGAGCTGAAAGTGAACATCCTCTTAGACTTGCACTGTAGGCACCTAATAATGCTCAAGCCGACACCAACTTTACGTTACCTCTTATGTATGCGCAAGAGTCCCATACGTACTAAAGATACAGAAGAATGAAGAAAGGACCTTAGGTGCTCACACACTTCTTGGAGAGACAGAGTGGTGTGCTGCTCATTGTAACACAATGCTATAAATGCTTTCAGAGAAACAAGCAATTCAATCAGGCATGCAGGCTTGGAAAAGATTTGTTGGAGGTGTAACCTGGTTACTTAATCTATGATTTAGGATCAAGTTAACCATCAAAATAAGTGTGAGAGACAAAGTCTTCTCAGATGAAAATTGGCCATTGGGTAGATTTCCAGTGATGAACTAGGACCTGTGGCTTTCACTCACTAGAGCGACCTAGGTAGAAAAAGGCTCACCTCTGTGGATGAGAATGATCCATCTGAGAGGTTCCTCACCACACATCCTCTGAGTCTGCTTTTTGGACGTTCTTCTGGGATCATTTCAGCCCCACACTCTCCTCTATTTTTTAGGACACAGGTCCACAGAGAGAAACTTAAACACAGAGACTTCGTTTTTTATAAGCATTTCCTCTTTGCTCTTTATTGTGTTTTATTGATATAAAGAGAGACATCAAGGAAAGGGAAACTTTTTCCTTTTTGAGGGGACAATTGAATGTATCCATTTATAGACCTTATAGCAAAAAATTATAACCCTAATGACCTTTATATTAGTTTCTAATGTTCATCTGAGGATTGTTAGAACTACAGGGAAATTAAGCAATAATCTCTTTGATGTGGGATGAACCCTCATGAATTCAAGATTGGGAAAGACAATGAAATCTAATTTTATTAGTCATATATTTCTGAGGTTATTAAATGGTACTACAATCCAGTTTGTTTACATCTTGATGACATTATAAAACACAATTAAAAAGAACTAATGGAAACTTATGAATCATTTTACATTTTATCCATAAATTTAAAACTTATCCATACATTTAATCAAAATTACATTTTGTTAAAAATAATCTATGTGGTATTTTATGAAATTATTGTTGTCTTTATGTTTTATGGGAACATACTCCAGATGCCATGAAAGAACAAGCACAAATTTTACATTTCATAGAGACAGACACTCAGATAACTGGAATAAAGAAAGCAAGAACCGAAACTAAAGAAAACTGAGAATTGACTGATCAAGTAGGATTTATTTTCCTGGAAACTGTTCCAAAGGTTTCATTTTTGTTTTCTCTAAAGTGCTCATAAATTGGAACTGTCGAAAATTATCACCTTTCTATGGCAAAGGGAAGATGTGGCAACACAGGTATTTTCAGTGTCAGTATGACAGTGCCACTTTGGAGACACAGTGCAGCTACACAGAGGGAGGTAATTTGTCCCTGGGTGGCCTCCTGTATCACCCTAGCACTTTGCACCTTATATTGTGCTCATAAGGATATTTTTATGCATTAGAATCCATCATTTGAATATAATCTAATTTTTAAATGTTTTTTATCATATTATGTAGGGACTTAAAGTTCAACATATCAATACTTGATGAAAAATACCTGTTCCTTATTATGCCTAAGATGTTT